AAAAAAAAAAAAAAAAAAAGCCTGGTCAGCAACAAGTCAATCAAATGTGCATCCCCCTATGGGGTCAGAGATCCCAGAAGTTCCCCTAGACAATGGCCAGCGCTCCCCTGAAAGAACACCTAGTAATCTCTTTTGCCCATTTCCAATTCTTGGACAATCTTTTCTGACAAGTACAACAACCCCGTAAGAGAGATGATTATACTCCATGAAACATCATCTTCTTTTTAGAGATCAGGAAACTGAGGCTCATCGAAGAAACTGATTTTGCTCACGTAACCCGTAAATGGAAGATCAGTATTCAGAAACAGCTCTGACTCCAAATCCTGATCTAGACCATGCAAGCTGCCAGGGCCCGGGTGCACGTCCTGGCTCGTCCTAGGCTGTTGGGGAAAATGGATCCCTCACTTTAACAGAGATTGCTTTTATCCTTTGTGCTGCGGTGTATTGCTGTCCAGACTTAATCAGCCTGAGACCACCAGGAATAAACCTCAGTCTGGCGAAGTCGGGCTCACTGACATGTTGCAGAGGGACTGCACCCAAAGGAGCCGTAGGGTATCTCGCCAAAGGGTTACAGAATTGAGGGGAGAGAGGGGGTTTGGTGAAATGCAAATGAAGAAGTATATTGATGGGCACAAAGCAAAGCAGGGCTTTGCGTAAAGATATCATCATAAATCCTGGACTATGAAGTGGCCCCAGGGACATGTTTCCTCAGAAACAATAAAGTTATGATAGCTGTGGACTGTTGTGACCAGAAGCTCTGCACCTGGGTTGTAAGTTCTGCACCTGCTTCTTTCTCTCTTTTTAATATATTTCTATTGACTTTAGAGAAAGAGAAGGATAGAGGGAGAGAAACACCAATCAGCTGCCTCCTGCACGCCCCCTACTGGGGATCAAACCCAAAACCGGGAATCAAACCGGTTTCCTTTTGGAACCTGAGACGACCCTCAACCAACTGAGCCACAGGCCAGGGCTGCACCTGCTCCTCTAAGTCAGTGACTTAGACGTGCCAGGCAAGAATGAGATGTTTCACTTTTTTTAAATTGAGATATACTTAACTTATAACATTGTGTAACTTTAATTAATTATGATATAATTACTACCATAGCTTTCACTGACACCTCCATCACGTCACATAATTATCATTTCTTTTTTTGTGATAGCTGTTTTGGTCTAACTAACATAATTTCAAACAGCAACGTTCCTGATAGTCTATGATTTTAGAGAAAAAAGTTTCTCAATGAGTCAGAAAGCAGCCCTCCCTCCAAGAAGGGAGTCTATGTGACATCTGCAGCTACAGTGTCCTTGGGAGAACTATTATTTATTGTTAACTTTGGAGCTGGCTTTAAGTGTCTTTGATTCTAGCCTGATGAACGGCCAGGCAGATTTTTAAAGTCCCAGCTAATGTTTACATCCTCATGTCTCAAAGCGGGGGACAGACAATCAGGTCATCACAACACAGTGCGAAGGCGCTGTGACGGGGGCTCACCTTAGACTTAACTTAGGCTAAGGGAGGCTGCCTGCAGGGGCAGACCGCCCAGCGGGGACAAGCAGAAGGCGACCAAATGAAGGTGAGGAAAAGGGTGACAGCACAGCCGGGACTTGGGCAAAGGCATAAGAACGAGGGAAAGGCTGGCAAATTAGAGGAATCAGAAGTGCTTGTGAAGGCGAATCTAGAATGCCTCGAATGCTGGGGAGAGCCAAATAACACAGTTAATTAAAATGTATCCCAGGCCTGGCCGGGCGCAGCTCAGTGGTTGAGCATCAACCCAGGATCCAGGCGATCGGGGTTCGATTCCCGGTCAGGGCACAGGCCCGGGTTGTGGGCTCGATTCCCAGTCAGGGGCGTGCAGGAGGCAGCCGATCAATGACTCTCATCATTGATGTTTCTCTCTCTCTCTCCCTCTCCCTTCCTCTCTCTGAAATCAATAAAGACATTTTTTTTTAAAAAATGTAACCCAGACTGTCCCACGTCTAAGGGTAGAAAACATGGTCATCCTGAAGTGTGCATCATGGTCTTTCTATGTGTGTACAAGTGAAAGGAAGGAGCCCCGCGAGCCCTGTGGACCGTGCCAAGGGGAATTCCACAAGGGGAATTCCACTGCCACGTCCCGTGGCACCCGGTCGGCCAAACTGATCCTTGTGGAGAAAGTGGAACCACTTTGCAGACTTTGCCCTGAGCCATCCTGTCCTATCTCATGACAACACCCAGGGGAACCAGGCTGGCATTCAAGCCATGCTGAGTTGCAAGAAAGGACAATGAGACTCCAGAGATAAAATTACCGCAAAGGAAAGGGGTGGCCTCCAAGAGAGAACGGGATTCAGCTGTGGGTTGTATCATTCTGAGCCCTGGGAGGGAACAGACTGGACCCTGAAACAGGCGACTCCTCCTGCCTGCTTCTTCACTGGCCGAGCCCAATCAGGAGCCTGCGGATGCATCATAGCTGCCAGCTTCCCAGGGCACGGAGCAGGGGAGGCAGAGAAACCACGTGGAGGGACGGAGTGGAAACTCCTGGCACAGGACAGATTATTTTTACAATCACTGTAAAGTGTTTTTGTTATAAAATATTCTCTAGCCCACCTGCTTACAGTGCCCTGGCGCTGCTTTGCAGGGACTCCTGACCTTCGCAAGAAATCCTATTTTGCATGAGAAGCCGAACAAAAGCCTTTTCCAACACCCGGTGAAGCTCTGCAGTTGCCCTCTTTTGCCACCTGTTGTTGGACCTGCAGTGATAAGTCATAATGAATGGAAAAAGAAGCGGATGAGTCGGCTTTCATAGTGAGCAAACACGGGAGCTGCTCAATGAACAAACACGGACACCTCCAGGTCCATGCCCACCTCAGGCTGTGCTGCTTACTAGCTGGAGAGACTTGAGCAACGACTTAACCTCTCAGACTGCCTTGTCTGTAAAATGAGGAAATGCTATGGCCTCCCTCGAAGGGCTCAGCAAGGACTAAGTGAGACAATGCATTGCCTGGCATGAGCTGAGCTGCAATCTGCCTGGGTGTAAATGAACACACTGGTGAAACTCAAGGTGGTGATATTACACGTAAAATCGGATTTGAAATAGCCAAGTGCAATGCAATCATACGAGCCCTGCACCACATGAGGAGTTCTGCATTGCGGTATGGATGCCAGTCAGTCCCAGCTGTGTGACCCTCACACAAGTCCTTTCCCCATTCTGGCTCCAAGTTTCATCAACTGAAAAGTGAAGGCACTGAACTATGACCTCTGAGTCTCCTCTGGCTCTCACATTCTACACTTCTGGGGACTTGGACACAAGAGCCATGGTTGTGCTTGTCAATCAATGTGTTTCTTCAAGTATTTATAGGCAACACTCCGTTACCTTGAGGATAAAAAACTGTGTGGGTTTTCCATTAATTGAATTGTGTCACCCATTCCTCCATCCCAAATTCATATATTGAAGTCTCAACCCCCAATTTGACTGTATTTAGAAACAGGGCCTCTAAAGAGGTCGTTAAAGTTGAATGAGGCCATAAGGGTGAGGTGCTCATCCAATAGGACTGGTGTCCTAAGAAGAGGGGTGACATTAGTAAGGCAGTGGGAGAGGAAGTCCCAGCTCCCTGCTCCCACAGAAACACCTCTTGTGATTAAAAGCACTCGATAGCCCGGCCCGTGTGGCTCAGCGATTGAGCATCAACCTAGGATCCAGGAGGTCGAAGTTCGATTCCGGGTCAGGGCCCATGCCCAGGTTGCGGGCTCCATCCCCAATGTGGGGCGTGCAGGAGGCACCCGATCAATGACTCTCTCATCATTGATGTTTCTACAGTCTCTCTCTCTCCCTCTCCCTTCCTCTCTCTGAAATCAATAGTTTTTTTAAAAAGAAAGCACTTGATAAACTAATCATAGAACAAATTTACCTCTTCATAATAAAGGCCATACTCAACAGTGAAAAACAGAAACCTCTCCTCTCACATCAGGAACACGGCAAAGATCCCTCTCTCGTCACTTCAGCACAGTTCTACAGGTGCTTGTCAGAGCAACGAGGCCAGAAAAAGAAATACAAGGCATCCAGGTCAGACAGGAAGAAGTCGAGCTCTCTCTGTTCGCAAACGATGGTATCTCGGATGCTGGAGACCCTGAAGATTCACACCAAAAACAAACTGTTAGAACTAATAAATGAGTTGGATAAAGTGGTAGGATACAAAATCAACATTCTAAATCACTTGCGTTTTTATACACTAACAATGAACTACCCGAAAGAGAAATTAAGAAAACAATCCTATTTAAAATCCTTAGAGCCCTAGCCGGTTTGCTCAGTGGGTAGAGAGTCACCGCTCGGACTGAAGGGTCCCGAGTTCCATTCCGGCCAAGGGCACGTACCTCGGTTGCAGGTTCGATCCCCTGCCCCAGTTGGGGTGCATATAGGAGGCAACCAATCAATGTGTCTCCCTCACATCGATCTCTCTCTCCCCCTTCCACTCTCTTGAAAAAAGCAATGGAAAAAATATCCTCAGATGAAGATTAAAAAAACAATACTTAGAAATAAACTTAACCAAGGAGATGAAAGATTGGTACATGGAAAACTACAAAACACTGATTAAAGAAAGTTTTTAAATCACAAATGAATGGAAAGAAATTCCATGCTCATGGCTTGGAAGACTTAGTATTGTTAACATGCCCATACTTTCCGCCCAGCCGGTGTGGCCCAGTGGTTGAGCGTCCACCCAGGAACCAGGAGGTCAAGGCTGGATTCCTGGTCAGGGCACATGTCCAGGTTTCGGGCTCCATCCCCCGTAGGGGGCGTGCAAGAGGCAGCTGATCAATAACGTTTCTCTCTCATCAATGTCTCTCTCTCTCTCCCCCTCTCCCTTCCTCTCTCTCTAAAAATCAATAAAAACATGTTTTTAAAAATTTGTCGAAGGCAGCCCATCAATGACTCTCTCTCATCGTTGATGTTTCTCTCTCCCCCTCTTCCTTTCTCTCTGAAATCAATTTAAAAATGTATTTTTTTTAAAACATATTTTAAAAATGTGTTGAAAGTAATACAAAATAATATTGAATGTAAACTGTAATTGAAAAAAAAAGTCTGTTGAGGGTAGATGTCATGTTAAGTACTCTTACCACAAAAACTAACAAACACACGTGAAGAGGAAGAGATGCCAGGGATGCATGTGCACAGAGGACGGGCTGTGCGAGGACACAGCAAGGTGGTCGGCCATCCGCAAGCTCAGGAGATCGGCCTGAGGAGGAACCAAACCTGCCAACACTTAGATCTTGCATTTCCAGCCTCCAGAACTGTGAGAAAATAAATTTCTGTTGTTTAAGCCACCCAGTCTGTGGCATTTTGTTGCGGCAGTCTAACCAGACTAATTCAGAATTTAAAAGCCTACTGTGGTAGAAGCTTCATTTGGGAATGCTCGAGAGGCTTCATGGAAGAGTTAAACATTGAAAGGGTTTTTCCTGGCATTAAAAGAGCCATAGAGAGATGTTATCTCTTACTGGTTTTGGTAATCAAATAGGCTGTCAAAATCTAGTGCAATTTTTTTTAGTTTCAAGCTTTTAATTCTCCCAACAGTTCAGTTTGGGAAGCAGAATTAAATAGCACAACATCAGGTAAGTCATTTCACCGCTGAGCCTCCATTTCATTATTTGTTAAATAAAGGATTTAGATTAGATCACCTCTAATTCTCTGGGCTTTAATGTTCTATCATACCCAGTGAATTTTGAGCAATTACATTCATCGTATCACTAAACTTAAAGAAATAAGTGGTGACAGACTCCTAAGAGTAGACTATAGTTGTTAAAAAAAAAAAAGAAAACACATTACGGTAAAAAGTTTGACCCCAATACTTCAGAAATAAGTTTTTGTAAACGGATTGCCACACGGGTAGGAAGATTAGGCTGAATCTCTGTTACCTTAGACAAGTGTCCATTCTCAGTCTGCTTTTGGTTGTGTGATCACCTTAAGCAGGCTCCTCCAAATATTTTTAAAAAAATAAGAAACAGCCTTGGGGAAAAGTTAATAAAAACGCAATACAGTATCTTTGAAGAGATCTCTTCACCCCGGGAACTGGGCATCAGTGGATGAATCTGGAGGTTGGTCCACTGTGTCCATGAAACACAACCACCACCACCAAGAAAATAATGCTCCCTGTGTGACCACAGTGAAAATAACTGAATAAACACACACAGGAATTTTAAAAACAACAAAACAATTTCAAAGAACTGGGTAGTGAAAAGTCGAGAGCACGAAGGGAGGAAAGAAAAAAATTACAACCGGCAGATATGCAAAAAAAGGGTTCACGGTGCGTGAAAGTGAGAGGGGAAGAGGCGTGGGGAAGAAATGGGAAAAGGGGGAGCTATTTCCACCGAGAGAGGGCCCCGGCCACGGTTAATTTGGGTGGACGTGCAAACATTCCAACAACAGTCCAATTTTAGAACATCCCCCTCAAATTCTCTTGAACTGAATTTCACAAGCCGAGCCCTCCGAAACCCACTGTAGTTTTGGGAATTGAGGGACATGCTTTTAAAAAAGCCCAAAGTTGTTTTTCTTCTATCCGGCCACCAGGGGGTGATACATTCCATTCAATTCAACAAACACTCAGAGAAGGTTACCAACTGCAGTGTGCCTAGAGGCTGTCCCCACAAATAAGGTGCTGTTCCTTAGAGTCCAGGATTCTTGATAATATATATATACACAAATAATTACTACTCGTGCCCGGCCGGGCGTGGCTCAGCGGTTGAGCATCAACCTAGGATCCAGGCGATCGGGGTTCGATTCCCGGTCAGGGCACATGCCCGGGTTGCGGGCTCGATCAATGACTCATCATTGATGTTTCTGTCTCTCTCTCTCTCCACCTCCTTTCTTCTCTCTGAAATCAATAAAGATAAGTTTAAAATAATAATAATAATAACTCATGAAGAAATGAGCTACAGAGTTGCACTTGAACTAAGTCTTTAGGCTGGGTGGAAATTCATAAGCAGAGATGGATGGTAGGCGGAAGTCAAGAAATACCTTTGGAAAGAAAGACTGGTGACAAAGATCAGTTAAGCTTCAGGCATCTAGGAGAGTTGGCATAGAAAGCATCTTCTTAACGCTATGTTTTTAATGCATTCAACATCCACAGACCACTTAATGGAGTTTGGTTCCAAGTATAAATAACTGAACAGAAGTCAGCTATAAAAAAAAAAAAAGATTGAACACAATTTTAAAAATGCAATTATAAAAGTTATTAGCAAGTGCTCCTTTTCAATGGGTGAGGTGAAATTGTTTGCAATCGCTCATCATGTTATCTCTACCTGGCTCCACAGCCAAAAGCTTGAACGATAGTCTGGTTCTTCATCAAGTTAGTTTTCTTTCTTAACCTTTATCTCTATTTAACTACAAAATATAAATCACAATTATAGATCTTTGGCTACAGCAGTAAGGGCCTCTGGTTCTGAGAGTCCGCTCTAGATATTTGGATCAAACATGGGCCTCAAAGTTTTGGAGAGATTTTGCTCGAAATTCTAAATACAGTGCTTTGGAGAAGCAGAATGAATGAGCCTGTCACGCCAAACCCCAGAAATCTAGATGCCTGGTCCCCCTGTTGGATGCATTTGGCTCTGACAGTAAAATTTCGTAACTTGTTACAGCATTTCAATTTTAACTTTTGTTCTTTTTAATTTTTAAATCTTTATCGAGGTGTAATTTATATACCATTGTAAGTATGCCTTAGAAGTATACAGTTCAATGATTTTTAATAAACTTTCAAAGCTATACAATTATAACACTCAAACGTTAGAACATGTCTTCCCACCGTGGGGGAAGGAGAAATTTCTCTTTTCCCTCTTAGTCCCTCTGACTGGCCTAAGAATTAAACTGACATGAAAGAGACTAGCAGGCGAAAATAAGCAGATTTAATTATATACGTGCATAGGGGCGTTCCATAAGGATATGGGATCCAGGACAGATTGGGCCGTTGAGGCTCACACGCCATCTTGAGCTAAAGAGAAGGGGTGGGCAGTGGTTTGGGACTTCAAAGGGCAGGAGGGCAATTCACCTGGAGATGGAAAAGCAAGTGTTTGGTACACAAATGTTATCCTGTCCCCTTTGGCCTTCGAGGTGGCAGCTTCCCTACTCCCTCTGGTGATCCCTGACTTGCTACCTAAGCTTTCCCTCAAAGGAAACACTTGCCGTAGGGAACACCTGTCCTGTTTGTAGCTACCGAAGCATCCGCATTGCGTTACACTGTTGTGTTCTATTATATTGTGTTACATTGTACCGTGTTGCGTTGTATTGTGTTATATCACCTTGTAATAAAGTATACCTGCAGAAAAGTACGTAAACACAAACTGAACACACTCAAGTAACCCCATCTAGGTCAAGAAACAGGACGCGACAAGCACTCTGGGTGCCACCTTCTTGCCTCTGTGACCGCGACTGCCCCGAGGGAAAATCTATATTCCTAACACCATAGATTAGTTTCAGAACTTCATACGAATGTTATGATACAGAATGTACTATCTCTGAGCTTCTTCCACTCAATGTTGGCTAGACTCAGCCATCCTATTCCAGGTGGAGTAGTTCATTCATTTTGATGTTATGTCATTTTCATTGTGTGAATTCTCCATTCTGACCATCGCCGTTCTACTGTGATGTGCATCTGGCTGGTTTCCAGTTTGGGAACAACAAACAGTGCTGCCCTGAACATTCCAGTATATGTATTTTAGTGAACAAATGTATGCATTTCTGTTGGGTGTACCCCTGAAGAGCAGAATTGCTGGGTCACATGACGTGTATAGTTTCAGATGTAGTAGATGCTCCTAGACAATTTTCCAAAGTGAGTTGCTTATGCCGACTCACACCCTAGCCAGCGACGGATGAGAGAGAGTCCCCTTGCCTGCTGCCGTCAGTCTTTTCCATTTCATTCACTCCGGTAGGTATGTAGTAGTACTATTGTATCGCGGTTTCAATTTTCCTCAGCACTTTTTGGACAATCTTCCTACGTTAGCATCGTTTCCTGTAAGCCCTGCTTCCCCAGGGTGCAGAGGTCAGACCATCACTTTCCTGGTCTCCCCTGTGACCCAGGCTGCACCGGCCAGACTCACTCGTGTAGGACTTCAGCCCAGGGGAGGGAAGCAGATGCACTAACCC